CTTTATTGCAAATACGTCTTAAGCTCTCTAAGGATTATTCTCTTTTATATCAAGTTTGACACGGTACTAATACCAATGGAAGCTATTCAAACATGTCTGTTGTTGACAGTAGGTAAAAACTCACTGGATAAACTGAAAACTTCCCAGATTCAGTCACTCCATTGGAGAGGGTGAATGCTGGAGTGCCAAGTGCAAGAGCTCAGTAAATATTTGTTATAAAATGCATTATAGGCCTCAGTTTGTGCTTAAAGTAGCCCCAATTTTTGAATTTACACAGGTCCAGTGTGGCAGGCATGGGGGGTGCATAGCTCAGATATCTTACACAGAGAGCCCAAGGGGAGGGGTGCAGCTATCCAAAGCTGCAGCACCTTTGGAATCTAGCGCAGTGTTTACGCCACAGTCATCATGTGTCTGTCCCTCTACCTGTCCGAGCCTGAGCACAGCACACTTGTTGGAGCCAGGCCATTCTACCCAGTGTGGGGAGCCTCTAAGGAGTGGTCTTGACTCTGTGGCTCCCCGATAGCCCAGCTGAGACATATTTCCCCTAGTAAATCTTTTGCACTTCTTACTCCATCTTGGCATCTCCTTCCCAAAGGACCTAAACAAGTACCTTTATGAGGCCCAACTCACAAAAAAAAAAAAAAATCTATTTTTCATGAGGCCTTTAGGTCTCTTCTGGAAGGGAACTCATTTTTTTTTTTTTTTACATTATTGTTCATTTTTAAACAATGGTTGCTTCCCCCTCCCCACCCCTCAGGTTAGAAGGAAACTCATTCTAAGGAAAGTGAAAAGATAGGCAACAGAATCTGCAAAATCTCCAAATTGCTTCAAAAGAAAAGCTAGTCAAAGTTCAACATTAGGTTTATCACACAGACAAATCTGTGTGATTCTTGGCCTTAGTGCAGCCCTACCTAAGTTCATGCTCCCACCTAAGTTAGTAGTTTTTGGAGGAGAGTAGGAGCGAAGGAGAGTCAGAAAAATGAAGGAGCTGCTTTACTGAAAACTCTGGGTCAAAGGGCACAAATAATACCTGTTGGAATCCCACGTGACAATGTACAGCACGATGGTGGGAGAAAGGTATTCTCACCTCTGCACAACCCATGTAACAGGTTCTGTGTGCTGGGAACTCTGGAAGGATCGGTGTCACTGTGGCATTTCTCTGTTGGACCTCCCAGAAATGAAGAGGAGCATTTCTCAAGGAGCTAGGTGAAGGCAGGAGCTTGCAAAACTGTATACAAATTTGAATCACAGACAGAGCTGAAAGGAACTACAAAGATAATCTAGTCTTTTGGTTCTCAAATTATATTTCATAGAGATGCTCAAAGGACTTGGATGGTGGGGAGGGGGTGTTACAGATGAAATATAAATGTATGGTAGTTCAAAGAAGGGACAGATTAATTTGATGCAAGAGGGTTGTCAACAAAATTAAGAGACTGAGCAGATGAATTAATCAGTCTAGGTCAAATGGCTGTGAGTGGAGGAGCTAAGATGAGAATCAAGATTTCCCAGCTTCCTAGAGGACTTTAGCTATTGCTTTTGTAATAGGGTAGCTGTAAGCAAATTACTGAGAATGGAAAGAATTTGGGGGTCATGTCTCTATATCCCTACTCCTGGGAGAGGGGCAGATTGTATCTGAATTTTGGATGCAACTGGGTGACTCTAAACAAGTATGCTCTTCCTGGAGTCTGGTTTTCATTATTTTCATATCCTCAGGCTTACAAGTCAGCCAGGGCAGGGATGCCAACAGAAAGACCTTATGGGAGGAATATGTTTGCTTTTAATTTAGAATAAGAACAACCACACCCCACAGAGCAAAACCCATGGAAATTTCCACTGCCCACAGCTGTATGTAGAGCTCCATTTCTGAAGGAGTTCTAAGAGATGCTTAATATGCTCCTGAGAACAGATTCCATATCAAATACTTCAGGGAATGTTCCATATTATATCCTTGTCTTGGAAATTTCATGTTACATATAGAAAAGTCTCTGAAAAGCTCTACAAACGATGTCAATTTAACCTTAATCCAATGTTTTGCAAACAACTTGCTTGTTGATGGAAACTTTTATTCATGGAATATCTATTGTCATCCAGAACGTACTTGGGAAATGCTGAGATAAAGACAACTAGGAAGAAAGGTCTGGGTTGTGGTCCTGACTCTGATACTAACTCTCATTTTCCCTCTTCTTTGTATTTCAGTTTCCTCATCTGTCAAAGGAGAGGGTTAGACTCAAAGATTAAGAGAGAAGAAAGGATTACCATTTATTCTATACTTAATGTGTGTTAGTCAGTGATGTTGGCAGGGTCCTGTGTTTGTAAAGACCACATGCTTGGTTTAATCCTTTGCTGTCACTATCTTGACATTCTTAATGATTTTGAAACAAAGAATCCTATATTTTTATTTTGTGCTGGTCCCACAAATTATGTAGCTGGCTCTGTCTGTATGCATGACTAGGAAGGTAGATAGGTAGATAAGATAGATATGTCTAATATTATCCCTAATCTTCACATCAGTCATTTAAGAATGTATTTGTATTATAATCTGTGAAGTACAGATATGGAAGCTGAGGATCAAAGAGGTTACTTATTCATGGTGACAGAGGGAGTGAAGAACAGAGCCAGGATTCCAATCTAGTCTATTTGTCTCTAAAGTTTTGCTCCTCCCCACTAGACCAGCTGCCTATGAGTCTAAAATTTTCTTGTTCCTCAGACTGCTACTAGCTCTACCACACTGTTCAAGTAACAGAATAATTATATTAATTCCATTCACTGGGTGAATATCGATTAAATGAATTAATGGGTGATGGACTAGATGGCAGGGAAAGAATGGCTTTAGGAGTTAGATCTGAAGTCCAACAGACCTAATGCTAACATTTATTAGCCATATGACCTGGGGCAATCATTTGACTTCTCTCAGCCACAGCCTATCTCATATGTGTGTTGTGAGGATTAAATGAAACAATGCATTGCCTATTACACTGTAATTCCTCAAAAGATCATTACTATTCTTTTATTTTGTTTTGTTTTTTCCTCTTTATTTTTATTCCTGGGAGAGAAGATTGTGTCTACATCTGAACGCAACTGGGTGACTCTAAACAAATTTGCTCTTCCTGGAGTCTGGTTTTCATTATTTTCATATCCTCGTGTTCACAGGTCACAAGTTACAAATCAGGCCTGGCTCGCTTTGTTGTTGTGATAGCAGACTTCAAGTATTGGAACTCATTTGATTTGTTCAACAATAAGTACAAGAACATTAGGCTACTCTTTTCCTAAATCAAATCAAGTTTTTAATTTTTCTAACTAATGAAATTAAATTTAACTTTACCCCTACCTACTAAGTTGGTGGGACATCCAATTTCATAGTTTTTGTGGGATGGAAAAACCCCAGGGCTTACCCAGTCTAGAAAAACTGGGGAGCAATCATCAGCCTCAGTAGTTGTGGTTCATTGTCCAAGCTTATGTGCTCCAATCAGATGTATCTGTCCTAGTTGTTCAAGGCATCTACAACCTCCATTCTAAATCTGACCTCCAGGGACTCCTGTATGACACCCAAACCCATGCTTAGTGTTCATAGCTCAGGTGTCCTTGTAGTTATCACTACCAGAAATACTAGGAGGGCCCTAGGAGAGAGCCAGCCACAGGTCCCCACCACCCCATCATGTTCCTGGCTTTATAGAATCCAACTTCACTTCCCTTTATTCCTTAGAATTTTCCCCTCCCAAACAGTCCAGCTCTGTCCCTTTAAGAGTGTATGTGTTGGAAACAGAGGCATGTAAATGTTTTTCCCCTGAGGTAAAGAAAACTTTCCAGCTTACACAGGGCTAACTGTCCTTCCAAAGGGATATAAAGGAAAATTTTTTAAAATTTAATTTATTTTTGCATAGAAGAACTGGTGTGCAGGCCAGAGGTGTGGGGGAGTGGTGGTGAAAGGATTTACCAGAGACAGAGTGGGGAGCAGAACAGGCAGATTTACTGAAATACACTGCTGAGGGGAGCAGTGGGTGAGACAGGAGAGGTCTGCTGCACCATATGTGGGTTAGCTCCCTGGCCTTGATCAAACTCAGGCTTTAGAGGTGAGAGTGCTGAGACTTAACCCCTAGGCCACCAGGGAGACCCTATTTTTAGTTTTAAAGGTAAGTCCAGACTGTTTTTTAAAAGGACTATACCAATTTATAGTCCTACCAACAACATATTTAGGTTTCTCTTTCTCCACTTTCTCTACTTGTTGTCAGAAGTCTTTTTGATGTATGTTATTCTCACAGGTATGAGATGGTATCTTGTGGTTTTGATTTACATTTCCCTTATTAGTAGTGTGATAAGCATTTTTTCATGTATCTGTTGGGCTTTGTATATCTTCTTTGGAAAAATGTCTATTCAGATCCGCTGCTCGTTTTTTAATTGGGATGCTTGGTTTTTATGTTGCTATGTTTTATGGACAAGATCTTTGTAAACCTTCAATATTAACTTCTTGTTGGTTGTGTGGTGCTTGAATATCTTCTCCCATTTGGTGGATGTCTTTTTAATTTTCTAATATTTTCTTTTGCTCTATAGAAGCTTTTTAATTTGAGTTAGTCCCAACTGTTTATTTTGCTTTTATTTCCCTTACCAGAGGGGTTGAATCCCCAAAGACATTTCTATCATTGATGTCATTGTGATGTCCTTATCTGGTTTTGGCATTAGGGTAATTTGACATCATAGAATGCATTAGGAAGTATTCCCTCTTCTTGGATTGTTGGGAATAATTTAAATAAACTTTTATAAGTTCTTGAAAGGTTTGGTAAAATTCTCTTGGAAAATCATCTGATCCTAGAGTTTGAGGGAAGATTCTCCTTTTTTTTTTTTTTTTTTAACTTTGCAAGAATAAATTCTTTATATAACTGGGGTATAGGTCAGAGGCACATGTGGCAAGAGGATTTACCGGAGATAGAGTGGGAAACAGAACAGGCAGAAATACACTGCTGTGGGGAGTATCCTGCTCAACCCCCTGCACCACCAGGGAGGCCCTGTAACTTTATTTGCTAATCAGTGATTAGTTTTCATCCACATTGACTGTCTGTAGATTTTTGAGAGTTGTGACAAACACATAGGTAACCAGTGTATAGAGCTTGTTTGGTAAATCTTCATCCTCATTACGTTTCCTGGACAACCCTACACGGATAAGATAGGGGACAGTCCTTCTTCCCTTGGCCCAGACAGCTTTGCTGAGCCTGGTGTCCTGGCGCACATGTGGACTGCCCATTTCCTTCATTGCGAATTTCCGGATCCCTTTGAGTGCTCTGGGGCACGCTTTTTTTTTTTTTTTTTTTTTTTTTTTTAAATAATAAATTTTATTTTTATATTCCCCATACAATTGCAACCCCCCCATTCTGACCCCAATCACTCTCCTCCCGCCACCCACCCCCAAAAAAGTGTCACTGGTTCAAAGTTTTTTTTTGATTTTGATTTTTACTTTCGTATAGTTACTCATTTTCCTGGTCCCTTATTTAAGTTTTCTAGATTCCTGCTATGAGTGAGTCCATCCGGTAGTTTTGCTTTTCTTTCTGGCTTATTTCGCTGAGCATGATCCCTTCCAGCGCCATCCATGTTGCTGCAAATTGCATGTGTTTATCTTTTTTGAATGCTGAGTAATATTCCATGGTATATATGTACCACATCTTCTTGATCCAGTCATCTATTTTTGGGCATTTGGGCTGTTTCCAAAGCTTAGCTATTGTAAACAGTGCTGCTATAAACATAGGGGTGCAGGTGTTCTTTGGAATTGATGTTTCTGTGGGGCACGCTTCTTTTTTTTTTTTTTTAATAATAAATTTTATTTTTATATTCCCCCATACAATTGCAAACGCCCCATTCTGACCCCAATCCCTCCCCTCCCGCCCCCCACCCCCCAAAAGTGTCTCTGGTTCATAGTTTTTTGTTGATTTTGATTTTCACTTTCTTACAGTTATTCATTTTCCTGGTCCCTTATTTAAGTTTTCTAGATTCCTGCTATGAGGGGCATGCTTCTTGAAGCCAATTCCATGGATGCGCTTGTGACTGTTGAGAATGTCTTCTCTGGTAACTACCTCGTTGATGGCAGAACGGCCCTTCTTGCCACCCTTATTTGCGGGAGCCTTCTTGCCGGGCCATACCGTTGAAAAGCTGGGGGAAGAGTCTTGATTACTCTTTTGCTTTCGATATCGTGATCAGTCTGTTCAAGTTTTATGTTTCATCCTGATTCAATCTTGATAAATTTGTATTGTTCTAAAAAAATTATCCATTTCTTCAAGATTATCAGATGTATAGGCCTATACTGTCTCACAGTATTCTCTTAAGAGCCTTTGTATTTCTGTGGTACCTGTAGTGATTTTTCCTCTTCCATTTCTAATTCTATTCATTAAAGTTTTCTCTCTTTAATAGCCTAGTTAAAGATTTATCCATTTTTTAATCTTCTCAAAGATCTAACTCTTAATCTCTTTGATCTTCAGTACATCCTTTTGATTTCTATTTATTTCCACTCTAATTTTTGTTATTTCTTTCCTTTCAGTAACTTGATTCTGTTTGTTCTTCTTTTTCAAGCAGCGTAGGTATTCTGTTAAGTTGTTTATTTTGGAGTTTTCTTGCTTATTAATGTTGGCCTGTATTGCATTTAACTTCCTTCTTAATACCACTTTTGCTGCATCCCATAAATTCTTGTAGCTTGTGTCTTCATTTTCATTAATGTCAGGCATGCATTAATTTCATATATTTATTAATTTATCAGTTTAATAATTAATTTAGTAATTTCAGATAGTTATTAATTTCTCTAGTTCAGTGGTATTGAGCAGCAGGTTGTTTAATCTCCAAGTATTTGAAGTTTTATGGTATTATGACCAGAAAGAATGCTTGGTACGATTTCAGTCTTCCTAAGTTTATTGACAATTGACTTGTGTCAAAACATTTGATCTATTCTTGAGAATGTTCCATGTGCACTTGTGAAAAATGTGTACACTGCTGCTCTGGGGCGGAATGTTTTATAATTCTATAATGTATCTATGAAGCCTACTTGATCTACCTCATCATTTAGGGCTATTGTTTTCTTGTTTGGTCTCTGTCCTGTTGATCTGTCTGTGGTCGTAAGTGTAATATTAAAACACTTTACAAATATTGTACTGCTGTTGATAACTCTTTAATTCTATTAGTAATTGTTTTATTGCTTTATATATCTTGATGCTCCATCATCTGATGAATATATAAATAAGTATTATATCTTCTTCTTGTATTAGTCCCTTAATCATTGTGTAATGTTTATCTCCAGCTCTTAATGACCTTTTTTGAATGAAAATCTACTTAATCTATATGTCACTGTTCTTGCCCTTTTTTTGATTACCATTTGCTGGTAGGATTGTCTTCCAGCATTTAAGTTTAACTTTGTGCTTGTCTTTAGTAGGAATGAGTTTCCTGTAAACAACAAACCTATATTTTCCTTGTCACCTTTTAATTGGTGGATTCAAGCCATTTACATTTAAGGTGATTATTGAATTATACTTACTGCAATTTTGTTAAATTTTGTTTTTTATAGTTTCCTTTTTTTATTTTTTGACACTGTCTATGTTTTGTTTGGGTTTCCATTGTCTTACATGTTATTTGTATAGATTTTTGTTTTGAGTTCATAAGAGGTTCATAAGAGATAGCCTATACTTGTGACATATTGAGGTGTTTCATCTCAAACTCATTCTTATGGCCCCATTTTTAGTCTTCTCCTCCTTCATTTTGCATGCTTTTGGTGTCTCTTAAGTCAAGATGAAAGCTTACTGTTATTTTATACTAGTCCCTGTAGTATTTTTTTTTATTTAAAGGCTAGCTCGTGTGGTGATATATTCTTTTAATTTTTTATTTTTCTGTGAAACTCCTTACCCCTGCTCCAGTCATTTTTTTTAAAGATTTATTTATTTACACAAGAGCTGGGGTACAGGCCAGAGATGCGGGGGGCGGGGACAGGATTCACCAGAGACAGAGCAAGGGGCAGAACAGGCAGACAGACCGAAAGCACTGCTCAGGGGAGCAGCGGGCGAGACAGGAGAGGTCTGCCGTGCCATGTGGGTATCTTCCTGGCCGGCCATGAATTGAACCAGTGCTGCAGAGGCTGCAGACAGCTTCACAGCCCCGCGCTCAATCCTCTGTGCCACCGGGGAGGCCCCCCCCCCACTCTAGTCTTGATGACAGTCTAACTGGATAAACTATTCAAGGTTGGAAGTCCTTTTCTTTGCAGGTTTTAAATATTTCCTTCCATTTCCTTTTTGCCTGCAAGGTTTCCATTGGAGAGTCTGTAAGTAATCTAATAAATATTCCTATATATGCAATTCTTTCTCTGCATGCTTTATTATCTTTTCCTTGTCATTAGTTCTTAGCAGTTTGATTATAAAATGCTTTGGGTGTTTTTGAATTTGCTTTGTTTGGGACTCTTTACACCCTTTGTATCAGAAATCTGGTTTATTTCCCAGATTAGGGAGTTGCTCAGCTAACATTTCTTTTAATAAAATTTCCATATCTCTCATCTCCTGGGATCCCCATGATTAGATATTTCTCCTTAAATCATCTCAAAGAGCTTTGACATTGTTCTCTTTTTTTTCCTCTTTGCTAAACTGTGTGTTTTTCACCACTGTGCATTCAAGCTTGCAGATTCTGTTAGTTACTTCTGTTTGTCTGCTTTTGAGGTCCTCTATCAATTTTTTTAGTTTAGTTATAGTGTTCTTTAAGTCTTAATTCTGTTAGAAACATTCTCATATTTTTGCTATCCTTGTATTTCTGCTTTTGCTCATCCATTGTTTTCCTTATTTTGACAAGCATTGTTATGACTGAACTCCTCATCAGGCAAATCATGCAGTTCTGCTGGATTCAGACTGCTCTTGGGTTTTTTGTTGTTGTTCCATCATTTGAGTATGTTTCGCTGTCTTTTTCTTTTCATTTTCTATAGGTTGAGATAAAGAGCTTTCTTTCCTTGTTTTGGTGAATTGGCCTTATGTTTACAGGAGGCAGCATATAATCCTAGGCTCTCTATCTGGGATCCAAATGTTTCATATAGTGACACCTCTGCATCTGTTTAGATGAACAGAGCTTTAGTCTTGCCAGGAAATAGGAGCCAGGGCATCGGGGTATCAGTATCTGCTAGTGAATACCTTGAGTTCAGGCTTTCTACGGTGCTGCATCTGCCTAAGTTGGGTGTCGGGGGAGAGCTTCAGGGACACTTTCCCCTAGGTTAATTCATCAGGCAAAGCACCTCAAATAATCTTGGGCTAGCTTCAATCTCTCAGCTGTGGTTTAGCTCTGGTTATGTGGGTTCTGTTAGCAGAAGTATTTTTTCCTCTTGGGGTGTAGGCAGGAGCACAACTAACAGAAAACTGCTGGTTCACACTGTGAACAGGTTACAGTCCTGGTGAGGGGGTGTGTCTTTCTCAAGGTCACATGCACCTTCCACAAAAGAATACCTTTCCTGAAGATCTTTCTCAATCCTTCTTTAATAGTCGTAATACCAGGAGAGGTCTACGGTTGGGACAGAATCCCATTAAACTCTGGTTAATGGCAGTATTCAACATGTATAGTTGCTATTCTAAGTTTTCACCCTTGGTGGTGAGGCAGCTGTTTTGCATAAAGCCACTGCCAGCTAAAGGGAAGAGCCTCTTTTGTGTAGAGGCACAAGTGAGCCAATCTAATCTTCCCCACTGCTGCAGGTACCAGCTATTTATGTGTGGGAATCCTAAATTTAAGCCAACAATCATCACCTTACATAGATACCTAGACTGTCTACTATTCTCAAGCTCCCCTGTTGCATGGAGTGGGGTATTTCACTTTATAGTTCTGGGTGCCTCGTTGCTATCCAAAAGTATAATGTGTTCCTTTGCAAGCATCAATCTGCTACTCTGGCATTCTTTTGCAGAACTGTGCTTCCCTACTCCCTTAGTTCTCTAGAGGTAGATCCTCTGTGCTGCACACTATGCCCTCCCTCTCCAGGCAGTCTCCAGGTTCTGAAATCCTGGATATAGGCATGAGCCCTTTACTCAACAACAGAAAGCTTCTGTATTGCAGCTGCCCCCCCCACCTTGGGTTGTGCTGGCCACAATTTAATTTCAGCTTTTCCTACCTTCTCTATTGCATAGTCCTCCTTAATGCATGTGATGGTCATCTGGTAGTCCTCAGGGACTGTGGTCTTTATTTCCATATAATTTGGTTGTAAATATGTGGAGGAGGTAAGCCTGGAATCGTCACACTTCTGCCATCTTACTCTTATCTTTATTGCAAACTTAGGAAGTTGAGGCATGTATGGGGAAAGTGACAGGTTTATACAGATTGTGTTGCTGATTTTCTCCATTTCTTTTTTTCTTTTTTTTAAGATTCATTTATTTACAAAAGCTGGGGTGCAGGCCAGAGATGTGGGGAGGGTGGGAGTGAGAGGATTCACCAGAGACAGAGTGGGGAGTAGAACAGGAGGACTGACTGAAATACACTGCTGAGGGGAGCAGCGGGCGAGTCAGGAGAGGTCTGCTGCGCCATGTGTGTCACCTCCCTGGCTGGGGATTGAACTCATGCTTTAGTGGCTGTGGATAGCTTCATAGTGTGGCGTATTAACCCCTTGTGCCACCAGGGAGTCTCCTGATTGTCTACATTTCTATGTGAGAATTGTCACAACCAACTCTGAAATTTCACATTTCTGCTTTTCAGAACTCCTTGGGAACAGTGAGAGCAGTAGATGGGGGCAAAACAGTCTTTGGAAGCTTTGATTTATGAAAATGATTTTATATGTATTATCACAGAGGGCTTGATGAGAAGGTATTGAAGCGTGTAGGACCCCAGTGTTCATGAACTAGGTAAGACGGAATGGCCAGCAATTTTTCTCCCTAGTGGGTTGGCTGATAGGTCAAGGGCAAAATTCTGTGTAGCAGCAGTTCATAGACTTGTAATGCTGGGCCCTCTAGTGGACAGTTCTTATTGCGTGAGCATGACTGGCTGTTTTCTACACTTCCATTTTCTGTTAGTTCCTTGTCTTCTTTTTGGTTTGCTAGATCTGTTAACTACCTCCATCTATACTGTGATGTCATTCTCCTGTCATTATTAACACCTGCTTTGGAACAGGCTTAGTGCTAGGGCACCACTCTCGAGGGGGAGAGATTGATTTTTTTGGAAACAGACTGCATGGAGTTACATGCAGGTTTTTAGGGGAGTGCTCTTGGGCGATATACTTGTAAGAAGGAGAAGAAGCAGGAGTGGAGAGAGGGAGAAGCTAATTCAATGTGTGCTTGCAACTGAAGCCTTAGCTGATTCTATGGGAAGTTTTAGAGCTCAGATGGCCTCTCTGAATTATGCCAAATTGATGCAATGAGCCAGACCTTTGAATAGCTGCTCCAGTCTTTCATTAGTTGTGAGTGGTACCCCAGGAGGGTTATTATCTTCGGTGAAATAGTGCCTGGTGGCCCAGGATAATGTGCAGTGAGGGATGAAGCTGTGAGCTGCCAGCAGCCAACATTACCAGCAGCTAAGTGATGGGTCCCGAAGATCTAGGAAGAAACCCCTGTCTCTACTCCTGGGAGTTTGTAATCACATTCATGGGCTCCCAGATCACTTTGTATATACCTCTCTTTTGTCATTTCCTCCATGATGCTGGGAGGGAAATTCCAGAAATATAAATCAGAAGACAAAGATTCTAGCACAGACTCCTGCTGCATGATCTTAAATGTGTCAGCTAAATTATCTTGACCTCAAGGCTAGCCAGAGTTCAATAACAATCATTTTTCCATTTGTATTTTACAAAGTGCTTTCACATTCACTTATTGAATCCACTGGACCAAGTTCTAAACCAAATGAAATGGGAATACTTTGACAAATTGGAGCACCATACTCATGTGAGATTATGTAAAACAATACTCATGATAATGCTGATTCATGCCACTGATATATATTGAGCATCCACTTTGTGCCAAGCCTTATCCTAGGTGATGTGGGGACACAGAGGTACCTTATATGTGGCATCTTTCTGCACCCCTTGCATTGTTTCTGGGAAGAGAGAAAGACACGTCAAGAAAGTACAATGGATTAAAATTACCACAGAATTATAAGCAGGCAGCAAATCTCAATCTATGTAGAGGGGTGTTGGAGATCCCTCACTCTGGCAGAGGGGGAGAGAGAAGGGTTTGAATTAAAGCTTTATAGGACTGAAAATTTTTAATAGGTAGGAAAACTGAAGTGAATGAGCTCCTGCCAGAAAAGGAGCTAATCCTTATCCCATGAAAGCAGGGACCTTGTCTACCTTGTTTGCTGATGTCTTTGTGCCAAACACACTGTCTACATCTAGATACTTAATAAATATTTGTGGAATACATAAATGAATGAATGATAAACCAAGGTGAATTATAAGCCTATAGCTGTCCCACAGACCTCTTATGAGGTGAATTTAAATAATCTCCCCCATCTGAGGAAGATGCACCAATGCTTCAAAGTTTAAAGACTAAGCCCTCCTTATCTTCCAGCAGATTCTGTGGCAGGCTTCTCTGCTCCCTTGTTCCCAGTGGAGAGTCAGTGCTGTAGGAACTCAAGGATTCTCAATTAAGAGATGTCCCAGTGCTTTTATTCCCACAAGCATTGTGACCAAGTCCTTCATATCTTTGAGCATCTTTTGGGGGGTAGAAGGAGCAAGATTATGACGGCTCTAGTTGATCCCTGAAGAGGAACAGAGGTCAGCTACAAACTTTGCTGGGAGAGAGATTGAGTGGGTTGAGTCTCAAGAAAGGATCTAATGTGACTCTCAAAGGAACTGGCTATAGTGGAGTGGTCATAGGCTTTGAATTCAGGCAAGTCTGTTAAAATCTAGATAGCTCCAAGCATTAATTTAATGAATGTTTCCCTCTGCTTCTGTTTCCTCACCTATCAAATAGGGATTTAAAAAATACCTCAAGAACTTTTAAAGAGATGAGTAAGGTAATATTGCAAATTACCCTGCACAGTACCTGGCAGAGACTGGTTTTTCATCAGATATTAAGTTTTTCTTCCCTGTTCACTAGTTGATTCTCCTGTACCCAGAAACTCATTCTCTGTCAGTATAACTACTGCCCCTAATGGGTTCTCTGATTTCATCCAGGCAGGTCATGTTCTTGTTTTTAGATTCTTTGTCTTATACAACACAGGCTAAAAGCCTTGCTTTGTCTATTTCTCATATGCCTATGCCTTTATCTTGATTATTGCCATTCTTATGATACTAGAAAAAAGTGAGCAAGCTTCACACCCCCAGGACTGTCTTAGTTATACCCACTAGACTCCCCCTCCCCTGAAAACAGTAAAGGAATCAGAGTAGCAGCACATCTTCCTTGTTGGCAGGGCTGTACACTTCTTGATCATGAGCAATCCTGGAGAAAAAAATGAGGAGGGTAGGCAGGAGACACTTGTTGTCCACCAAAACCCATCCTTTCTTCCATAGTAGTAAAGGTTAGGCTGGGACATGACTGCCCAGACAGCAACCTTGTTTGCTGGTTCCCCTTATAGCCGGTTGCGGCCATGTCACCTTCACCAATGGATTTGAGTAGCTTTTGCCTTGTTTTTGTAAGACTAAATCTCTGGTCCTGGACTTCTATTCTTTCTCCTCACTAACTAGAAATGCTTCCACCAGAGCGAACTTGGAAACAGTGTTTTGAGGAGGGTAATGATTATCCTAAGTCCCCAAATGACGAAGCTGAGCTGTCCACCTATTTGGGACCACCTTGGATTGTATCGCATTGGCCTCAACCGTTCTTCATATACAAGCCCAAATATCCAGAAAACATCCACTAATACTTTTCCCCCCTCATTTTCACTATCACATTTAATATCTGTTCCCCGTGTTTTCTTTTTCTTTTTTTTTTTTTTAAATATTAAATTTTATTTTTATATTCCCCCATACAATTGCAAACGCCCCATTCTGACCCCAATCCTTCCCCTCCCGCCCCCCACCCCCCAAAAAGTGTCTCTGGTTCATAGTTTTTTGTTGATTTTGATTTTCACTTTCTTATATTCATTTTCCTGGTCCCTTATTTAAGTTTTCTAGATTCCTGCTATGAGTGAGACCATCCGGTATTTTTCTTTTTCTTTTTGGCTTATTTCGCTGAGCATGATCCCTTCCAGCGCCATCCATGTTGCTGCAAATTGCATGTGTTTATCTTTTTTGAATGCTGAGTAATATTCCATGGTGTATATGGACCACATCTTCTTGATCCAGTCATCTATTTTTGGGCATTTGGGTTGTTTCCAAAGCTTAGCTATTGTAAACAGTGCTGCTATAAACATAGGAGTGCAGGTGCTCTTTGGAATTGATGTTTCTGTGTCCTTTGGGTAAATACCTAGGAGTGGAATTGCTGGATCATATGGAAGCTCTATGTTTAGTAGGTCCAGAAATCTCCACACAGCTCTCCATAATGGTTGGACCAGTTTGCATTCCCACCAACAGTGCACAAGAGTTCCTTTTTCTCCACATCCTCGCCAACATTTGTTGTTGCTAGTTTTTTTAATATGTGCCATTCTCACTGGTGTGAGATGGTATCTCATGGTAGTTTTGATTTGCATTTCCCTGATTACAAGTGATGTTGAACATTTTTTCATATGTCTGTTGGCCATTTGCATTTCCTCTTCAGAGAAGTTTCTTTTTAGCTCTTCTGCCCATTTTTTGACTGGATTATTTTCTTTGTTGTTGCTGAGTCTCATCAGCTCTTTGCAGATTTTTGTGATCAGTCCTTTATCATTAGTGTTGGGTGCAAAAATGTTCTCCCAGTTGGTGGGGTTTCTCTTTGTTTTTGTTATTGTCTCTTTTGCTGTGCAGAAGCTCTTTAATTTGATGTAGTCCCAGCTGTTTATCTTTCTCTTCACTATCACTGCTTTGGGTGATGTGTCTGTAAAGATGTCTTTGATGTGCAAATCCCGTAGTGTTTCGCCTATATTTCCTTCTATGTATTTTATGGTTTCAGGTCTTATGTCTAGTTCTTTAATCCATTTTGAGTTGATTTTTGTGTATGGTGTGAGGTAGTGGTCAAGCTTCATTCTTTTGCATGTAGCGACCCAGTTTTCCCAGCACCATTTATTGAACAAACTTTCTTTGCTCCAATGCATAGTCTTTGCTCCTTTGTCAAAGATTAGTTGACCATAAATCTGTGGGTTTATTTCTGGATT